TGCTTCCACAATGCATGTGTCAGAACATCCAGCACAAACTCTGCAGCTCTCAGGCTCGTGTGACCCACTGCTCCACCAAGCACTTATGTCCCAGTATTTACCATCATTTACCTTTTAAAATGAGGTGATTTCTGCTCTCTGGAGGCCTGGGACTTGGGACTGTGGCACTGATTTATTTGCTCTAGGCAGGTTATGTCACACCTTACCTCAGTTTACTACTATATAAAATGCATATATGAGTCTTGCTATTATATTTCCTGTAGTAGATAAAGACTTACTTCTCAGGGTTTCCCCACAGCCTATAGGCAGAGGTAGGTAATTTGTTGCCTGGTCTTTTCAAAGCAACAGGATGCTCTTCTTGAGCTTGGGGTCTCTCGTCATCATCTCTTGATGCCTCTCCCATCTCTGGCTTTCTCTCCTTGAAGTAACTCTCCAGATGGAGAGTTCCTTTAACCATGTGATCAAGAAATTTCAGAATCCATATGCAGTTCTTTAGCCACACTGGGAAAGGTTCTGAAGAACAGAAAGCTGCATCCAAGAATTCTGCAAACGTCCTTGTCTTCTCCAGGCTCAGAGAGATCTGATATTCCCCTTGTGTCCAGAAGCATCCAAGTGACCCAAGATCCTCTGCCATCTTTTCAAAAAAACCATTCCTCTGGAAGAAGTTACTGTTGACAGGGTCCAGGTGCAGGGCTGCTGTTATTCCCTGAAGCGTGTAGAAAACAAGCTCCAATATGCAATTCTGTCCAACTGGTGCCCACAGCCCAGATGGTGAGTCCTGCAATGCACCTTCCATGTCTGATAGGAGGGACAGGAGTCCGTTGAATCCACTGCAGGTTCTGAAAGCTGAATGGCTCTTGGGACTCTCCAGTATCCTTAGGAGTGACTACAGATGTTGAGGAGACAAAAAAAATCACTTAAACCGAGGCACAAAGAAGCTTTAGAATATTTTAAATTTCCAAATTTGTATCAAAATTCTTTCACTGAAATGTCACTCTTCAAAGAAAAAAAAAACAAAGTTGGTCAAAGTAAAGCTCACCCCAGCATGACTTCTCTCCTCCTCCCTATATACCCAGTGAGTCAAGCAACTGAGATTTGAATGCACCCTCAGGAGCAACTCATGGAGTCAGCCTGACAGGTAGGGAATAGTGCTCACAGGAATAAGCAAAAAAAAATCATTTTTATTCATTATTCCTGCATTACATGTCCTAGTCAGTTTGGCCAGAGGTAGTTTCAGATCTTTGCTCTTCTTCCATCAGTCTTTTCAAACTCTCCCAAGAAATCTCTTTGCCTAAAATGAAAGCAGTGATTAAACTGTAAATAACCTCACAGGAACTGGCAAGAAGGTAGAGTTCTCTATAGGCAAGTCTTCTTACAGCCCTGGATACACTAGACTTGTCCTCATGTGACTGAGCAGATCCTTCCCAAAAAAGGAGTGACTCAGGATGACCCAAAGAATATTGCAAAGAGCAGGCTCTGCTCATTGAGAAAGGCAAGAATAATTCCCTTTCTCAACAGAGGTATTTTTAAAGTTTTTATAATACTTTAGAGGAAAATAGCCATAAGGAGTCAGATCCCAAGTTAACAAAGTAATTAGATTTTCTCTAACTTCAACGGGCTTAAATCAGGTTATAAGCGAATACCATTTGACAATATTTGACATGTATAAAAAGCAACCTATACCACTTGTAAATTTTGAATTATTTTTAAAATGAGCCATTTTAAAGCAACTCCAAAAAAATTACTAAGATCTGTAGTGCTGGAAGTAAAATCAGTGAGAAAAAAGAGCTTGCAAGGAAACAGTCTACTGTATTTGAATGTAATCCATCCCAGGTTTTGGGGATGTTGCATAATTAATTTTATAAATACAATGCTCTTTCAGGCACCAGGGACCTTTGAAATTTGAGGCTGCACCTTTACACATTGGAAAGGGCTTATTTTACATAGAGGGTTTCCCAACAGATATCCCATAAAAGAACTCCACAACCTGATGAAAAGGAACAGTTTTAACACAAATAGATAGCCCTGTAATGGGATTTAGGATGGTGAGAAAGGGTTACCAGAATTGGAGGGGGAGGGAGGAACTTTATTACTGTCATTCAATTTTGTATTATAATGTATGAAACCTGGCAGAGACTTCTGAACAGGGAGTAAATTTAATAACTCAGAGTTGAAGTTATCAGGATGGCTTTAACACATTTCAGAGAAGGTCAACAGTAACCACATTTCCTCCAGCTCTAACTCAGTTAGAATTTAATCGCCTATGAGTTAGTATTCCTCTGTCCTGAATCTATAAAATTCATGTCTGCTGGAAATCCCCTAACTCAGTTAACGTTAACAGAATTTATTTCACATTCCATTATTTGTTATTCCTCATAATTGTCCATGTGCCACTCTGGAACATGGCAGTGCTAATTGCATTTGTGCTCAGGCTTTAACAGCTAAATATATATTAGCAAATCAATCTGAATTTGTGTGTAACACAATCACAGTCCCAATGGGTGTAGATAACAAATTCATTTGCTTACATTATGCCTTAATACAGTTATCATTTGTCAAAATTAGACACTGAAGCTGCAATTATTTTCTTATTAGTTTGGACACTATACTCAACTTTTTCACAGATACTGTTAAAGTTTACTGTTTAAATCAAAGCTATAAACTTCATCACATGTTTTTTTTCTTTTAAAGTAACATGGTTCTTCTATCACAGAATCAGCTGCTATTGTTGTGCTGAAAGGTCATTTCAGTTCACACTTGGTAGAGAAGGTAGAACAAAACTTTAAATAGGTACTTACAAAGCTGCTGCTTTTCAGTTTGATGCCTATGATCTAAACCAAAATAAAGCACACTGTTTCTTTCCCCTGCTTCACTGCTTATTAGATCCTGTATAAACAGGATCATGTCCTGCATAAACACAACACAGGTTATGAATAGTTCTAATTTATTCCTCCAAACATTCATAAGACTTCTTCTCTCCATCATCTCACATCTCGTTTTTCATGACACTGATGTATGCGAGAGATGACAAAATTAAGGACAGCAAAGTTTCAACCTTGGAAACCTAAGAGAATCAACCTGTTCATCTCATGCCTACCCTGTCTTTTCCAGTCTTACTCCTTTACCTCTTCTCACATCCTCCCTCTACTTCTTCTCCACTTTTGTTCACATCTGTTTCTTCTCCTTTCTCTGTCACATTACACAGAACTGCTCATACAACTGTGCCTGTCACCATTTCCATTTCTCCATCCTGCCTTCCTATTTAAGTCTTCAAAATACTTCACAATCTGATACGGAGGGAAGGTGTTGACCATATACATTGCTAAAAATCTAAGTGCCTAATTTACCAGAAATAAAAACTGGCCCATGGATCTTTTAAATACTGCACTTTCTTTCTTGGAAAAACCACAGCGCTAGGTATGAAATTAAGAGCAATTTGCCACAAGCCAAGCAGTTTCCAAGAATACAACAACCAAGTGGGAAGCCATATTAATTACCTTCAGCAGATCTAGTTTCAGATGTAGTTCCCCTTGAGTAGAAGAACAGAGGGCCCCAATAATAATACTCATATATTCTTCATAGTTGATGACCGACAGCTGCTCCAAGATGCTCAGAGTAGCACTCCTGTAGCACTCATCATCCAAAAATATCTTGATATATGGCACCATTCCATAGTCCTTCAGAACAACTGGGAACAAATACAGTATCATTTGTTACTTAAACTGTCCTTCACTTGTAGTTTTCGCAGGTAGATTTTCAGTGTTGGTGTCAAGTGCCACATTTCTACAAATACAGCAGGAGAGGCAAGAATTGCAGCTAGTTAACCTAAAGACGACACACTGAATGGCACAAGTACAGCTAGGGAAAAAATTACTGGATAACCATGGTTTCTAATCATCAGAGATGACAGCTTCCCAATACAATAATGAATGTAAAGACTCCTTACTAGTTTTCATCTTAAAAATCTCTTTAGTTTATGAAAGGGACTGTTTGATAATTTGTGACTGTGTTTGCACTGTAAGATGCTGCAAACATGATGATTCTAGGATTCAAGAGTGAATATTGAGTGGATTCCAGTATTCAGATGAGTTCACTTCCGTATTACTAC